ACAGCCCAGGTGTGAATGCAAATAGTGGAACACGAGCTATGTGGCTCGGTTCCAGTAGATACAGAGAATATTTTGTCATTCTTAACGCGTCCTACGAAATTCTTACGAGACAGCACTAGTCCGCGTGAATTTGTGAACAAGATCGGAGATCTAAAGATGCAATCTCTACCGTGCATCAATGGCGGCCTGCTGGATCTCAAAAGAGATTCTTTAATGAATATAAATAAATTTTAAAAGGCAAATGGGGAAAACCCATAAAACAGCGAACGGCCACATAATGCAAAACTATTTCAAATTAAATTACTGTTCCGTTTTAATTTTATATATATATATATATATATATACACAGTGTTCTCCCTGTCTCTTATACACATCTAGATGTGTATAAGAGACAGCCTCAAAACAGACTTGATGCAGAAGTGCGAGTCTTTTCTCCTCAGCCTCATCTGGAGGAATTTTCTTGTGTAGCTCTGGAAAAAAGGTTGTTGGAAAAAATCGTTGGATCAATGGATGTAAATTAAAGACACTTTGTTCTTTATCCAAGAAATAAATGTTGGAAATGGGTGAAATCTCAGAACATAAAAAAGGGGAACTAGTCAGTGTTGCCCTGGCCTAGAGACTAGTTCAAGATGGTATTATTAGCAAGAATTAAAGTTATTAATGTTATTATTATTTCTACCCTGGTGATTACTATTATTTTGTTATGGTTACTACAGTATTACTATTTATTATGCATAAAAAAAAAATAAAATTTGTTATTCACTGAGAAACCTATAGAGGGCTCACATCATATTTTCACTTATGAAATAAACAAATCTGAAATAGCATTTCACTAATATATATTTATTTTGTATGCTGTTTGGTCATAAAATAGAAAACTGCATAAAAAGCATATTCTACTGATAAAATAAAACTTTTTCTTTGAAGTCGGGCATTTTGCGGTCTCCAGACTATATACCAATATTGAAAGCTGCCAGTGCTACATCGCTACTTGCATTTTTAGATCCTACCCCCCCACCCCTTCCCAACTTGAACCAATTTGTTATTACCTGTAATATTATTACAGAACATGCTGGTGGTTCTCGTGTCATAAATTATCATCTTCAACTTCCAATAATAACTGTATCATTTCTATTGTAAGGTTTTCTTTAAAAGTTACCTGAGATATCAAGATTTGCCGGGGGTAGTGACCTTCGATTGCGACCCCTCATGAAGCTTGAGCGTCTTCTCTTTGTCCCCATATTCTTCTTTTTTGAAGATGGCAGCTGTGTAGATGTTTAACATTTTAATTTATAGAATCAACCAGATATATACTATTTTCATGTTTTTAAGTTGTCTTTAATTTTATGTAAAAAATTAATGAAAATTAAATGATAATATACATATTTAACCAGTAATCATTACTGCATTGAATTTACAAAAATATCGATATAAAAGATCTCATACAGGAAAACACTTAGAGTAATAATAGTATCAATTAACAGTATTAACAACAACAATTTAATAATAATAATTATCATCATAGTCATTAAACAGTATTTTACAGAACTTAATTATACCTCTTGGGAATATTCAACATGGTCTGTTTGTTCTAAACTCCTCTTTCTTTGACTCCTTGTGCAACTAAAAAGATAGAAATATACATGAGAATTTTGATTACCAATAACACTATCCACTGTGACAGTTTTTATTGCTTGATATAATTTTCTTTTGTTTGCTATAATCTACTGTACTTACTCTACTGCATGTGCCAATTCACATTGGTTCCTCTACTATTGATAACAGTATATCATAACGATGGTGACAATAACACAATAATTATTATTAATAACAATAATAATAATAATAATAATAATAATAGTATTAATAACAATATTATTTAACAATAATAACATTAACATTAATAATAACATTATTATTAATAGTAATTGCTTGCTGACTACTCTGTACATTTAAGTATACAGGAAGTTACAGTAGAAAATTTTGTTGCCAGTCTAAAACTAAATTTCCTTTTTTGTCTAATTTGAGTATTAAAAATGCTGTCACTAAAGGTCGCGAGATCGGTCGCCATATTTTGATATTTTCAGCTTAATCTACAAATTACAGTAAAATATGCCAAATATGATGTTTTGCAAATAGTATTTTTTTCATCCGCAAACCTGACGATCAGCCATGTGTACACATTGTCGCGAGGCAATCTTAATGAAGTGTGGCACACAAAACAGCAATATTTTTTATGTAAATAAAGTAATCTGTGTTTGAAAAGTTAACTAAAGTTACTTAAAGTGTTAAAATATACTTTTAGCTAATCATTATCTAAATAAATAATTAAATATCAAGGATTAAAATGGATATCAAAAACATGGGATAATTTTGGGAGGACTGCTAGATTTTTCAATGCGAAGATTACATCACACATAACGGCCAACGGCAAAACAGAATAACAGATATCTTATTGTTAACATACAACTTGCTATACACTCCCTCAGATACTTCAAATTTTTATAAAACTGTAACCATTTGCTCGATTTTGCTCATATAAAGTTTTATTGACCTACTGTATGTTACTGAGAATTAGTATTTTTTATATATATATATATACACAGTGTTCTCCTCATGCCCTTGAAGCATCATGGTACGTACATTCCCCATGATGCACGACAGTTTGCCATGATGCTTGGAACATCTTCCATGATGCTTTTATATAGACTTAAAGTGCAATTTAGGACTTTTCAATGCCTCCTAATTATTAAAAATACCTTGTGTCAGTCCCAACTATGGTTGATTTCAACACTTAGCATGACACTTGCCCATGATGCTAGGAAGAACACTGTATACAAGTTTGTATTTAATTGTTTCATGCCTGACTTGTCCTAGCTAGCTAGGTCGGCTTTGAGTTGGGCCGGCATAAAATTTAATGATTGTTAGGCGCCTGCCACTGCAGGCTAGGCGCCGTGTGAGGGCGCTTGTCAAAATCCCGAATAAGAAAGTGTTACCATATCAGGAAAGAAATTGGGGACATGGGCAGCCTTTCCCGGACTCTGATTGGGTATTACAAAAAAACACTCAGACGATGTTCTCCCACCTTCGAAAAAAACTTAGCGGTGATATGTTTAGAACGTTTTAATAAAATGCAAAAAAAATTAGAAAATAACTCATTCTTATATAAAAATTATGAAAATATCAAAGATTAATAAAAATATTATACCAACTTTATGTAATGTTTTGAATTGATGTAATTTAATAAGACTCTGCTCTGACTCCGTGCCCCAAGCAAGTATTTATATACCTACTGTAGGCTACGTGGAGTCTGAGCTGGCTCAGTCTTACTCAGCTTATTCTAGGCCTAGCTAGGCCTAGAACGACCTGTCCCTACAGAAAAAAGAGGGGCTGGGCCTGGCCCTAGCTTAGAGCCCAGCTACGCCCTAGACTGGGACTGGACTGGCCACTTGCGAGTAGAGAACAGACGTCAACCGTGTTCTGATTGGCCAAACAGACACGTGACAATGAAAGGTCGAAGAAAGGCGACATGTTCTGTACTGCTTGTTTGTTTTGACTGGTTTTGATATGAAACCACAGCACAGAAACTGTTCGAAAGCAACAATCATTCATTTAATTTATTTCACCAATTAAACATTACAAACAATAATACAAAAGGACAAGACAAACCTTGTCATGCCATAAAAAACTTAACTTTTACTGTAATGAACTTATCGTGTCAACAGTAGTTCTTAAACTTTATCACGATTTAACAATAAATAAATGAATTACTACTCTTTTATTCATATATTTTTTAACAAGTTAAAAAAAATACACAGGAGAGGAAAAATAGTCTTTCCATGACATTTAAAATGATAAATAATCTAGGCCATCGTACTATATCAACAAAAGCAATCTTTTAAAAATTAATTTATAAAATTAATTAAAATATTATTATTTTTGAAGGAAACATCGTAACTTCCAGTCTAAAGCGCATTTGATTTCAACATTGTTTATAATTAACAAAAAATTAACCATAAAAATGTTATTAAAAATAAAAATAAAAATTTTTTTTGTGCCTTCCGCACAGTTTACTGTTACAGTTTCCCCTCTTGGCAGCCCTGATGCTGTCTTATTCTTCTTATAATTGTTTAAAAAAAATAACGATAAAGTTGTAATTTATATTGTTATTAATTAAATACGCGGTAAGTCTAGAACTACTGTTGACACGATAATTAACTATTATACCGCCAAGACAGATGGGAAACGCCAATTGATTCGAGCCAAGAGAGGATGAAGTATAAGTTCATAAACATGTTATGCTTTTTTAATCTTGTTGCGTTCGAACCATAGAGATATAATACAGTAGCTCTATTGTTCGAACTGAGTTTCTGTGCTTGGTTTCCATATCAAAACAAAACAAGCAGCACATGTGTTGCCCTTCGACCTGTCACTGTCACGTGTTTGTTTGATCAATCATAACATGGTTGACGTTTGTTCTCTACTCGCAAGTGGACTGGCCGGATTCCTGACTGGCCTACCCTAGACTAGGCCTAGGCTAGCTAGGCCTTAGGCCTCCCTAAACCTTCCTAGGACCTAGGCTAGGCCGTAGCCTAGTACTAGTAGTAGTAGTAGTAGTAGGCGGCTAGGCCCTAGGCTAGTAGGCTAGGCCTAGTCTAAATCATAATGATTTACTTCAATCGCACATATTACATACATAAAAGTACCACGATACGTTTACTACGAAAATTAATGTAAAATAATTGAATCTTAGTTATATAGGCCTAACCTAACCTCATTTTCTCTGAACAGCAGACCAGATTGAAATATACCGCTCGAGGCAGCGCCCTCATTAGTTGGCATTATATGTAGCTATGTTGAAACATGAAAAGTAACACAGGAAACAAATGGTAAATTACATTAAAAACTTGTTTTTAGGCTTAGTTGACGTACTAAACTCTGTAATAATTTCAATTTGGTAACATAATATAATAATATTTCTTGCTTAATTTTAATAAATTTATCATTTAACTAAGATGGTGAGTTTTTAGTTAGCCGGGAACCATACCAGAAACTTAAAAGAGGGGATTCCCGGAACTTTCGATATCCGGATTCTCGTAGAGAGACACAGTACTTGTAACTTATATCATCAATTAGTCAGCAATCAAATCAAAGGGAGGAGGCGGATAGGTTGGAGTAAGGCCTGATGAGAAATTCTAAATGCTTCACAATTCTTTTGTTTTAAAAGTTCCGGGTACGTAGTTATACAATTAATTTTACTATTAGATTGCTATTTTTAAACATTTTTGGCCTAGCCTAGGCCTAGGCCTAACTAAGGGCCTTAGCCTAGGCCTAGACCTGGGTAGGCCTAGGTTTAGTCTACGTACCTAGGCTAGACTAGAAGAGAACGAGTTTTTGTTCTAAAAATGTCACATTGTTTGCACATATCCCTATAGGCCCTACCATATTTCCGGAAAAATAAAATATTTATAAAAATCATAGAAAATTAACTAGTCTAGTATGTAACTAAGTAGCACGATTTCAATCAAATAGACATTGTTTTAATGTTTGAATGTTGTAGAATATTTGACATACGTTTCATCAGGGAGTTGTTGTCACTATAACAACTCCCTGGTTTCATTTCAATTAAACCCAAACAAGATGATTTTATTTTTAACATACCTACAAAAGTTACAGTTTAAGAAACGAACTTATGGATTTCAAGATGTTAATATTGATAACCCCCATATTATATCCAAATCTTTTTGTTTCCAGGACATTAAAGGAAAGCAATAAGAAGTTATAAATATATTCAAAACTTGTGACACCTGATTGGTCGAAAAAATGGTCGAACCTGTGCTTCCACCAGATCACCCAATCACTGACATTTTTATAGTTTCTGAGAAGTCATACTCTGAATCAGGTTACCAAGTGGTAAAATATTTTGAATTGTTTGTATATTATAATTCATTCATCTCTTTAAATGTTCTTACGCAAATGCTAAGTTATACAAACAGCTTGGTCCATTCAATCCCAGTGATCATCATTACACAAAAATTTAAAAAATCAAATATAATAAAATCATAACTTTTTAATGATGTTTTTCAAAACACCGTGGCTAGAGATACGGTACCGTATTTCTACTTCAATTTGCTAAAGGTACGGTAAATATCATTACGTAGCCATCACCCAATGAAGTGCCAGAATGTGCGTGACATCATTTTTCAAGACTGACATTGCATTGCAGATCACCCGTGATGAGCGGTGAAACGAGAACGATGTACAGTCCTGGGAAATTAGAACATCAAAAAGTACAATATTGTTTGACTTAGTACTGTTATCAATAAATAGGCTTATGATTCCACTTTGTAAAGAGTTTCATTTAGCTAGGCCTATGTACAGGCCCATAGCCAGGGGGGGTTTTTATGGTTCGGGCGAACCCCCCTTTTCTAGCGAACCCCCCTGTTTTCTAGCGAACCCCTAGAATTTTTGAATGAGTCCCACTCGGACGGAATGTCTGTTTTTAACTTACCCAGTATTAAATCAAAATTTAGCACCTAATTCATTATTTGGTCACCCGTTTTTAAATTGTAGCCTACAATACAGGCCTACATTCTAGAATATCTCAGCTTCAGAAGTTCGGAGATTTAAATTGAACGCAACTCCGGCAAACCATGACTCGATAGCTCACATAAGGATCATTGCAAACATCGATAAAAACTTTCACTGGCCTTTGGCTGAATGTTTGTAAGAAATGTACCAACCGGTAACGAAACAGCTGCTCTCTGCCTGAATAGTGATCGTAACTGAAAAATAATGATGCAGCAACACGCTTGGTCAACTTGTAAACATTGAGCCTTCTGTTGTTTGCCCATAAAACAAATTTTGGGGTGTTATACAGTACGATTTCAAAACATTGTCATCGTAAAGAAACAGCTATAATATTGAAAACAAACAACTTGAAACAAAATCGGTGTACGGATTTAAATAAATATTTACAATATATTTTAATGGTCAACTTATCAAATTTTACGACCAATTTTTCCATACATTTGTGAGTGACGGTGTGTAATAGACATGCAAAACAAACATTAGCGGTTAGCTGTACAGTGTAATATCTTTGAATATCATTTTAGACTGATTCATTCATATGCTTGGTCATCTTGTAATCATTTAGAATGCAACAGTTTTTAATAGGTCCGTATCTCTACACTTCTAGACGTAGTACCGGTATCAAATTATAGTTGCCATAGACCCGGTTTCATACACGCTCGCTTAAGTAAATTTCAAAGGAAACTGTTTTCCCAATTTTTCTTATTGTTAAATACTCCTATGCAATACTGTAGGCCCCTCTGGTATAAAATTGACAGATCAATTAGACACTCTGTAAAGATCGATTATGCCCTTTTATATAATAAGGCCCGGTAGGCCTAATGTACTGTGTGAAGTACTGACTTTGTTAACATCGAATGGGTGAAATTGCACACAAACTTCAAACTCTTGGCCTAACATACAATGCCAGAGGAAAGGATATCACGTTTTAATCACCAAAAAGGATTTTCCACGGACGCACAGAGTAATAGTTTTTCAAATTTTCTAATAGTATGGCCCAAAGCGAACGATTTTCTGGTCTAGAAAATCAGACACTTCGTTAAGGCTTATACAGTACAAAATACTGTACAGAATATGATTAATTGAAAAAGCTTTAAAATGAAGGACTTTTAAATGAAGTTTATATACAGTACTAATATTTTGCGAATCTTGGGTTTTTAAAAGCAATCTTGGGATTTTTTAGACCCAATCTTGAATTTTGATTTTCCCTAGTGGTCACGCTGCATTTAGAGACAGAATTATACCCCGACGACATCAAACTAGTGTAGGCATAGGCTTAAGTACAGTAGGACGTACTACTAGGCCTAGGCTTTTGTTTTAAAAGTTGAAGTGCATGTACAGGATGCGCCATAGGCCTATATTTTTAAAAAAAAATACATTTTGTTGATTATTATTGGTTGGCCTGGGACCAGACAGGCCAGCTTTGCCGTCGAAAGTCCAGGGATTCGACGATGCGTCAGTACACATGTTTACAAACGCCATTGATTGGAATGAAAATAGACGCGCTGAATTTCGTTTATTTTATGAAAGATAGTATATATCGAACATTTATCTATATAAAAACAATTAATATTGTAGAAATTGTATTTCTAAAGATTCATATGTAATTCATATTTCATTTGGTAGACAATAAATATTCAGTAAGATACTAAAAACGATTATTAATTCTGAAATGTGCATCAAATCTCAGCTATTATTAATCAGCAGTTTGTATTAGGTTAAAGTCTTAAAATAATAATTTCGAATTAGGCCTAGTAAACAAATAATTGTAATTAAAGTTTAGGTTCCCATGATGGCAGATTACGTTTTCAATATGATGCTATATTTTGGACTCTGACCGTAATTCAACGATGGCCCTGTCAGTTGTAGTAAATCTTTGTAAATTACTTTATAGGCCTATATAATAGCTTGTTTTGTTTTATAATAATAAATGTGTTGAGTGTATTGATATTGATTATGCGATGAGGTTTTTTT